TCCCCCCCAGTCGCCTTCCCCCCCCCCCCTCTTTTTTTTTTTTTTTTTCCCATAAAACCGCGTCCTTCCCTTTTTTCCTTTTTCCCCCCCGCTGGGGGCCTTTTCCCCCCCCCCCCCCCCCCCCTCTTCTTCCTGGCTATTCACCTCCCACAATCCTTTCTCTATTTTTCCACTTGGACTTTTTAAACCCTATACCTCAGGATCAACATGCAACTCACAGCTCTCTTTGCTGGTCTTTTGTCCTTGTCTCCTCTGTTCCTCTCTGCGAACGGATGTGCGGACCACCTGAACCGACGACAGGAGGAGAGTGCTCAAGCATTCTCAGCCGCCAAATTCCCGGATATCCAAAAAATCCTCGCGGGAAACAAGGAATTTCAGAACACGAGGAATGCCACCCTCATCCAGGACCTCGTTGACAATGGACAAAAACCACCCGTCATGATGATTTCCTGCTCGGATAGCAGGTTACCCGAAGCGAGTGTATTCAACTCTGAGCCCGGTACCTTCTTTATGCAACGCAATATCGCAAACCAATACAAGGTTGGTGACGAGGGTGTGCAAAGGTATGAAATTTGTCTCTCCCCAAAAAATTCATTCCCCATGCTTATCATGACCTTGCCTCCAGTGCTATGGCCTATGGCATCAATGTCCTAGGTGTCCAACACCTCGTCGTGCTCGGCCATTATGGATGCGGTGGTGTGGCCGCGTCCATCGCCACGCCCCCCAAGGCACCAATCTCTGTGTCCTCCAGCATCGTCAACACTTGGATCTCGGATATTCGTACCATCTACCTCACTTCTGAACGTGCAGAGATTGTCGAGATGCGCACGAGGAATCTAGAAATCGAGGCCAACGGCGGAACCGTCGAGGAGCCCACCATCAGGGAACCTGGATTCAGAGCCTTGGTCGAGGAAAACGTCAAGCTCGGTGTCCAACGCCTCGCAACCAGCAGCGTCTACAAGAACGTGAGTGTCCGCATCTATCTCCTTCTTTTCTTTATCGCTAACATGTTATGATCTTTTAGCTCGTTGGTGACGTCGAAACCAGGCTAAACACAGATGGCACCCCCAAATCAGAAGCCCGCCGCCGCAAGAGGTCCGCTCAAGCTGCCGAGACTCCAGGACAAGAGGAGACTGCCACCGAGGAAGAGGCCACCCTCAAGCCCGTCTTCATCCACGGTTGGGTCCACGACCTCGAGACCGGAGAAGTCCTCGACTTGAACGTCTCTGTTGGTCCTCCAGGATTCGAAAACTTTGTCCCTCCTTCTAACGGTGAGGGTGAGACTCCTACTCCCTCCGAGAGCGAGACTCCGGCTGCTTCTTCGACTGCCAGCGAGGGTGCCTCTGAGACCTCTTCGTCTGAAGCTGCTTCTTCTACGTCGGAGGAAGCCGCCGCCTCTTCCACCTCTGCTGCAGAGGGCGCTACGGAAACCCCAGCAACTGGCGAAACCGAAACCGAAACCGAAACTCCTGCTAATGTCGGCGAGGGAAATACCAGCAATAACACTTCGAATGGTGATGTGAAGGTTCATGGACCAAGTTCACAGCCTGCTCGTCGCCGAAGCAATAGCCGTGTCATGAGGCGCGGTGATGGTATCTCCTTTGGATCGTCTTGGGCAAGGAAGAGGGGGGGGGGGGGGGGGGGGGGGAGGGCGGGGGGGGGGGGGGGGGGGGGGGGGGGGAAGAAGGGGGGGGGGTGGTTCAGGCGCCGCGCAACGCGGGGGGGAAGCTGTGTGCTGTGGGTGGGCGGGGTTATGAAAGGGGGGGGATGGGAGGC